CCAATGCCACAAAAAAGCCCGATTACAATATCCCCAACAACACCTTAACACGCCTCACACCTCTGGCACACTGTAATTTGGAGTGACAAGACCAAAAGAGAGCTTTATGGTCACAGCCATAAGCGCTATGTTTGGAGAGGGGTCAACAAAGCCAATAATGAAAGAATACCATTCTTACTGTGAAGCATGGTAATGGATCACTGATGTTTTGGGGGGGGGTGAGCTCTGAAGGCACGGGGAATCTTGTGAAATTTGATAGCAAGATGAATGCAGCATGTTATCAGAAAATACTGACAGACAATTTGTATTCTCTGCACGAAGGCAGCGCATGGGAAGCTCTTGGACTTTCCAGCATGACAATGATCCTAAGCACAAGACCAAGACCCTCCAGTGGTTACAGCAGAAAAAAGTGAATGTTCTGGACTGGCCATCACATTCTCCTGACTTTAATATCATTGAGCCACTCTGGGGAGAACTCAAATGTGCGGTTCATGCAAGAAGACCAAAGACTTTGCATGACCTGGTGGCAATTTGCCAAGACGAATGGACAACTATATCACCTGCAAGAATTAGGGACCTCATAGAAGACTATTACAAAAGACTGCACGCTGTCATTGATGCTAATACACAGTATTAAGAACTAGGAGTATGCAGACTTTTGTACAGGGATCATTTCAATATTTTTTGTTGCCGGTTTTGTTTTATGATTGTGTTCTGTTATAACCTACAGTTGACTATGAATCCCATAAGAAATACAAGAAATGGGTTTTGCCTGCTCACTCATGTATTCTTTAAAAATGGTACATATATTACCAGTTCTCCAAGGGTATGCAAACTTTTGAGCACAACTGTATTTTAAGGACTCAATTTGCACGAACGCTACATTACTCTACTGTGTTTTCGCCCCTTCCTCCACTTCAGGGTGATGGAGTACATAATCTGAGGCTATCTCCACTTCTTCTGTTCCAAGCTTCAAGTGTCTCAATAATCTAAAAAGCTCAGCAGGCTAGTTACTTTATTCTTGATAATGGTTTTTTTTGTTGTTCTGATGCATTGCCTGTTTTCCTTTATGTTGTATGTAAAAATGGGTATCTTCTCTTGAAATGTAAGTGTCAGAATGATTTTTCTATGATAATATAGATATTTCTGATATCTGTCATACTCCTGAATAAATCTTTAAACAAAAAAAAAAAATCTAATGAAACCTGCACTTTTTTTTTGCATATAAAATACTTCAGTAAGCTTTAGAGCTTTAAACGTCTGGCGTGTCAATTTAACTGTCATTGGAGCCAGTGCTACTGTAAGGTGAGCTAGGTATTCATCTGGAATGCTACCTCTGAAGGGGTGCCCTGCTGTTCGATGGAATGATAGGGAGGTCAAAAGATCTCACTGACTTGCCCTGCATTCCCTGTAATAGTGATAACACGTAATCTGCACCTTGGCCAAAAAAAAAATTAAATATTTTTTCAACTAATTGTAATAGTAGGGTGTGAGAAGGCAAGAAACACAGTCTCTCCATACACAATGCACAGTCATCCTACATATATCTTTGCCATACATACACAACACACACACACAAACAGCCACCCCAAAACAATGCCACCCTATGCACAATACACACAATTTACCACAGATAGCCACACATACACCCCCCCCCCACACACACACACACACATAGCCTCACACAAAAACACAGGCAACTCCCCCACACACACAACATACATCCTCTTCAAAACCTGTGCATCACACATAGCCTTACCATACACAACTTTCAACACACACACAGGGGTGCTTAGAGGAAATAGAGTTGCTTTATGTGACATATTTGTTTTATGCAAGGACATTACACTAAGCCCAAATCAAATAGTTAATGGACCTTGAGACACACAATATGATATATATATATAAATACACATTTCAGAAGTAGCCCTAAAATAACATTTTAGCTACTGAGGTGAGCGATATAAATTCTATTTAAGTAGGGCAGTGGTGACCAATGCACCCATCATTTACCCCAAAAGGTCTATATCAAAAGACAGGGCTGGGGAAATTATTTGACCCTGGGTCACTAGCATACAAGGGTTGTGGGCTACATCCAAGCAATACCATGCTGTCTGCTCTTTAAAAGCTATATGAGGTGAATTGGGATGTTGGTAGAGAGGCAGCAGGGAGTAGGCACTGTGTGAGTTTGTGCGTAGCAATCTCAATCCTCTCCAGGCCTGGGAGATATTTCCTGGTGGCACGCTGTATCTGGGGCAAACTAGGCTGTCTGATTGTGATGAGTATGTATGGTGTCCCTGGAGATGTTTATTTTGGTTGCTGGGTGAAAAGAAAGGCTCATTAAAACCGTGTGGGTTGGCTACAGAAAGAACACAAACTCTGCATCTCTTTGGCATTCACAGATCCCTGCGAATGCTCCCTAACAATGCAGGGATCTTACTGTAGGAGATTGTAGGGACATACAATGTAACACATTGCAACTCACCAGCCCCCAACTGTCCAATCCATATATCGCATGCTCTGTGTGCAAAGCACCATCCACAGAGACTGTGGATCCCCCAGGCCCAGTCTGGAAAACAAAAATAAATTTAATGTTCATTAATTAGTCTGTTCAGCATCTCTTACATGTGTGACAGTTGTTCTCACCCCTGCTTTCTCTCTTGTTCTTACAGGTGTTTTCTCCACTTGCTAATCTCTTCCCACAGTGACCTGGAGTTCCTAAAATATAATAGGAGAATAGAGAGGACAACAGCTGTGCTGATCTTTAACTGTACAAGATGGCTGTGCAAATAAATTCATTTGTGGGGGAGTTGGACGGTGTGAAATGTGTATACATATTGAGTACCCAAATTGTAGCAATTAAATAGGGAGACATTTTACCACGGCTGCAATTGTGTGACTGCAACATCCTTAAAGAGATGCAAAAAAGATGCATTACAAACAGAATCAGGGGCTTCCCCAGGTTACCTGGCACCTCGGCGCAAATGTATACAGCCCTCTCTCCAATTTTGTAGATTTTATAGACACATGCTCATATTCATATAAACACAAACATTCATATACACCTACTCAAATTGATATACACACGAATATTCACATACACACTCTCGTTAATACACTCATTCACATTTTTTTTTTTATACTTATTTCTGGTGTCTCATGGATGGCTGATGGGATCATTTTATGCAATGATTGCACAGCTCCCTGCAACTCTGTACTGATGTCAGGCCTGGGGTGATGTCACCTTCCAGCTGTGCAACCAGAAAACAGAATTATTCCACCAACCAACCTGTCTGCTAAATGGGATCTACAGAGCAGGCGGCACTGCCACCGCTAGGCAGGGGCCTGCTCTGCCAAAAGGGTGGTTCTCTGTGCACCACCTGCTGCCTTTCAGCATCCTAAAATCCTAACTGATACGCCCTGGCTAATCTACCAGCTGTGTATTTCAAACTTTAGTTAATGCACCTAATGGTTACTTATTTGCATTTTATTATAACAAAATTATAATGTTAAAAATGAATAAAATCAAGCCTGTATACCAGCATGTGCACTTGGCATATTTTTTTTGTAATGTCATGTAATGGGGTATTTTCCCCATGATGGCATGTGAGCACATGTGCTTCATTCAGTCTGCCAGTTATGACATTCTGATATTACAGTGATCTATATAATAAAGCCTTGTATATATTATTTATTTTAAAAAACAATGGTTTTAAAAGAAAGGCTCAACCCCAGTCCCCAGTGTTAATTGTTTTGAATTAGCCACTGAAAAATTAGTATTTCATAAAAATAGAATGTTTGAAATTCTCATTTTGACCCAGTCAGGAGATATACAGAGAAAAAATAGGGACTACTTTGTCTCTGTATATTTCCTCCACCGGACTTTCTTAGACTCTGGGTGGAGTAACAGTGCCAATCCCAGCGGCCGTCAACAGTAACGGCTGTAACGGGAATTGTCTCTGTCTGTGGAGCATACCGAGATCTCATAGACCTCAGGGCTGTACTTTCATGCATGTAAGACGGTGACAGTACCACTTTAACTACAATTCAATTCATATTTAAAGGGTTACTCCAAATATCATTATGACTACAGCCCGCAGTAGAGGTTATGACGCCAGGACTACCCTGGCCCAGCTCCCAGTGATGGAGCAAAGTATTTTGACAAAGTTTTAACCCCTTATGTGGGTCCGCGCCAGGCTCTGATGCTCCCGGGTAGTTCACTGACGCACTTTTGCTTCTGCAGAGCTGCAGAAGCCGTGGCCGCCACGTGCGTCAGCTAACCACTTTCAGCCAAAGAATACAATGAGGTGCAATTAAAATTGCACAGAATTGACACTCAGTGATTCTGCCAGGGGAACGTTATACTTCCAGGAGCAGAGGGGTTAAACTATGTGTGCGCAGTATTTCATTGCGAAACGCTGCACATACAAACTTCAGGCACCATGACCACTTCACATCACAGACATGGTCAAGACGCTTGAAGTAACCATTTATTAATTCTGTTACAGGGTGATTCACTGAAATGTGAATTCTAAGTCACTTTTCACATTTTTAGGCCACGATAACCAATTTGGAAAAATTCTCCAGTTGCTATTCTTTAATTTTGGACTATTTGAGCCTAAATTTTTGAAATCAATTTTGAATTCCTGACAGAGAATGAGTCATTTATTGAGTAAGTCCCTATAAAAACAGGTTTATTTGCTTTGGGAATGATGCAGAATCAGAACTGGCATTTGCATTGTACAAAACAGTTGTCTCCAACTGAGTTAATTTTGGTCCTGACCCAGCACAACCCGCCATTTAGTGAATAAGCCCCCTCCCTGCCACCCTCCTCCCTCAGCTTGTGTAACTAGGGCTCTGAGGGGAGAGGGGGGGAGGCCTCTAACAACAACGCCGACTGTTACTAAGCAGCCGTCAGCGGTTGTCCCCTCCAGCCAATCAGCGCCGCTGTTTCTCGCTGTCACGCTCAGCCCGCTTGGTAGGCGTGGCTTCAATCTCCCCTCCAGCCAATCAGCGCCGCTGTTTCTCGCCGTCGCTCTCAGCCCGCCCTTGCTGGGCGTGGCCTCCCCTCCTCTCGAGCTCGCTCCGTGTGGAAAAGACGGTTTCGGGTGCAAAAGTCGCTCTTATGTTGTTGCTCCGGCCGTTAGACATGCCCAGTGAGGCAGCAGCCGCCTGCCGTGCCGCGACCGTCACCGAGCTCCGGGACTCCCCGTCACTCCCGGGTGCTGTGAGGAGCGGTCTCCAGCCGCCGGCGCCCTTGCCCGCCTCAGACTGTCCGTTGGCCCCGCGCGCTGTGTCCGGACGGCGGCCGGGGAGCCCCCAGTGAAGGCCGCAGCGATGTGGGAGTCCAAGCGGGTGCGGCTGCTGTGCATGCTGGGCCTGACCTTCGTGTTCTTCGTGGTGGAGGTGGTGGTGAGCCGCATCACGGGCTCGCTGGCCATGCTCTCCGACTCCTTCCACATGCTGTCCGATGTCATCGCGCTGCTGGTCGGCCTGATCGCCGTGCGCTTCGCCCAGAAGACCCGCTCCACCGACAAGAACACGTTCGGCTGGATCCGGGCCGGGGTGATGGGGGCCCTGGTCAACGCCATCTTCCTCACCGCCCTGTGCTTCACCATCGTGCTGGAGGCCGTCGAGCGCTTCACCGAGCCGCAGGCCATCGAGCAGCCCATGGTGGTGATCGGAGTGGGGGCCGGCGGGCTGCTCATTAACCTGATCGGGCTCTGCATGTTCCGGGACGGGGCCGCACACGGACACGGACACTCTCACGGCGGAGGGAGTGGAGGAGAGGCGGCGGGGGGGCACGGGCACTCGCACGGCCCCCGGAAAGCTCACAGGAACCGGGACCGCTCGGCCGGGGATGGAGCCGCCATAGACCGGGAGGAGACCAACATCTTGGTGGAGAACTGCGGGAATTCGCACGGCCTGACCGGGGACGGTGTGATCAGCAAGCACGGTGAGATACTGGAGGTCGGGGGGGGGCTAAATAGGTCATGGGGTGCGAGCCAAGGAAAGGGGAGAAGGTGGTAAATGGGGCAGTTGGGGCCAAGGGGAGGGGTGGCTAGGATGGTCGGTGGGGGGGCTAAATGGGTCAGGTGGGGATCCAAGGGGGCAAAGGAAGTGGCTAAATGGATCGGATGGGGGCTAAATGGGTCAGGGGTGCGAGCCAAGGGAGGGGGAGGTGGTAAATGGGTCAGGTGGGGACCAAGGGGTGGCTAGATGGGTCTGGGGGGAGGGAGGTGGTAAATGGGTCAGGTGGGGATCCAAGGGGGGGCAAAGGAAGTGGCTAAATGGGTCAGGTAGTTGGGGCTTAAAGGTTCAGGGGGTGCGGGCCAAGGGATGCTGGAAGGGGGAGGCAGGGATAGAGTGCCAGGGGTTGCCAGACAGTGGGGCTTAAAGGGTCAAAGGGCTCGGGCCAAGGGGGATTAAAGGGTCAGGGAATGAGGGCTTAAAGGGCCATGGGGTGCTGGTCAGATGTATTTTATTTTTTATTCCAAAGGGCCATTGGGTGGGAGTCAAAGGGGGCTTAAAGGACCCCAAACTTTGGTTATTGCACATTTTAGCTGAACATGTGGTTATAAAGTCAGTATTGCTAGACAGAATGGGTGGTTTTTATTAGTGGGAAGTGTAGTCCTGCTCTGGTGGAGGATTTGCTGTCATCAGCTTTTTTTTTTTTTTTTTTTGCGCTGCTCCCATTATGGCACATTCACAATGACATACTAAGGTTTCAACAAGCAGAATGAATTTAGTGTACCAAGTAAAAGTGTTCAGTCAATGTGCTTGCTGTAAAATAGCAAGGGAAGGGGGATTATGCAAATGACAAGATTCAGATTAGACGATTGTCAAATTACTGTATGAAGTTCAATTATTTAAACCTTGACCACCAACCAAACCATTTGTTTTTCATGGTGCCCATTTGATTTTGGTTAGCAACACTGTTTAGACTATATTTTAATCTAGCTCAGAAATCTGTTGTCATGTACCTCAGAAGCTCCTGTCAATTTTTTTTTTTTTCATTGTTCTCTGCCAAATTATCATTATTATTTTTTTATTTTTTTTTTGTGGGAAGCGGTGGGTGACTTGATCTCTAATGTGAGACCTGTCTCACAATTCAGTCAGCCCTGCTGGGTACAAACAGGGAGGGAGAGAGCTAGCATACTTGAAGATTGCATTACTACTGTGTCAATTTTAGGGACTTTAGAATTTTAATGGGGGAGGGAAAAAAATCTTTATTGTTCTAAATTTTGTGCATTAGCATTATGTATTAACCTTCTTTTTTTAATTATGGGTTATATGTGTGTCTGTGTGTGTGTCACAGTTCCAATTTTAGGTATCAGATCCTTTTTTGTGGACTTTCCTGTGTTGTGCAACTATTAAGGTTGAACATTAATTTACGCAGTATATGTTTGTTCTAAGTTTGCTTTGTCGCCTTGCCCTCAATTAGATTTTCCCTTCTCCTGTAGTAAATTGGTCTTAAATAGAGAAACACTCTGCACTCAGGTTAGACGGGGTTGTGATTTTGTCAGTTTATTTAATATTTGGCAAGTTTTGCTTTAACAACAACAACAAAAAACCTTATTGAAGTCTTTTTAATTATTGGATTAATTCAAAATATATAGGTCAGTAGTGTAATCGTTTCTGATCATCTTGTGAGTTACAAAAATTGTCATTTTTGGTACATTTGTTAGTGGCACGCGTGTTGGTCCTTTAGTATGTGCAATAAAAAAAACAGACTGATGTTCTTATGTACAGGTATAAAACAATTATGCTTGCATTAAGAAAGTTGCTAAACATTTTCCCTATCTGTGATCTCCCGTACAGCTTTGGGCTTGCATACTGCATATGATGTCAGTAGCCGTGTAACCCTTTTTTGTGTCCTTACTTGCTGACCTGGATAACAGAATCTTTTTGTGCAAAATTGATATCGGATTCATTTCAAAGACCTATAACCACTTGCCTCAAATATTAAAATTTTCTGTCACACTAGCTATAAAAAGAGGAAAATATGCAGTTAAGTGCTATTTTTCTTTCTCTTTTTTTTTTTTTAAGTTCTAGACAAGGAAACCTTTATACTGTAATATGTAGACCACTTTTAAATGATTAAATGTGTAGTCGTTCTTAATTTGCATTGTAGGTAATTAACCTTCAAGTACTATTGAACACATTGCTGTTTGATAGATCATATTGTAACACTGATTGATGTCACATCATGGTGTCCAGCATCACTGCAATGCAAGCTGGCAGGAAGATGTGTTGACTAGTCTTTGCTGATGCTCCCCAGTAAGGAAATCTGCATGGAATAAGTAATAATGGGGGAAGCGAGGGAGGTCAAATTAAAGGTTTGTTTTATTACAGTTGTAGCAAATTTCCAGCCCTAAATAGGTTTAAAGTGTTGCCAAGTCACCAGCAATTGTGAATATAAAGACTTGCCAAAGCTTTATAGGTTAAGACTTCCCTTTTGGGTTAACAAAATCAACCTTTTGTATAATTTATTTTTTCCTCTCTTCAATTGACAGTTAGGCACCATAACAACTACAACTTCCACCACCCTCAGGTGGCATCTGTCTTCCGAAATTTCAGTTTCAGGAAGCGCGGAGTGCCGCCGGGCAGGGGTACCGCTGTTTGGCTGAGAGGGTCAGCTGACACTTTCAGCCAATCAGGACTCCACATTCACAAAACTGACTTGCAAAAGAAATGTTTCTTTCCAAGCCTGCTTTGTGAATGGGGAGTTATTGACTGGTTTAGAGCGTCGGTTGACTGCTCTTAGCCAATAAGTGACACCCCTGCCCAGCGACACTCTACTCTTCCTAAAACAGAGATTTCAGAAGCTATATGCCACTAGGAGGGGGTGGTTGAGATCTGCGCTGGAGGCAACTTTGGTGTTAAGCTTTTCAAGAATGATTTAACCCCTTGATATGAGGATGCTGGGGGCTTCTGACACCATAACAATTTTAATTAGCTTAAGTTTTTGGGTGGCTATTAAATGTTTCCTCTGATGAAACATGGAGTGCACCTTTTAAGAGTCTCCTTCATTTTTGTAGAATGTTGTATTTAATGTTGCCTAATTCTGACCTTCTAAATAATATGGATTTTGTTTTCTTCTTCCAGCAGATGCATTGGCTGAGATCACAATAGATCATCGCTCGAATGGCAATGTGGAAAATAACTCTGCTGAAATCAGTGAAGATGGTACGCAGCTGAACATGCGTGGTGTATTTCTGCATGTTCTTGGTGATGCATTGGGCTCTGTTATTGTGGTGGTGAATGCCTTTGTTTTTTACATGGTTTTTAACCCTTGCCCAGAAGATGGAAACTGCATAAACCCATGTGTTAATAACCATTGCTTAGATCACAAAGAAGTAAATCATAGTCTTCAAAGTGTGCTGAATAACACGTCTGAAGAGCCACTTCTCCTTGCTGGACCTTGTTGGGTCATGTACCTAGATCCCTCGTTGTGTGTCATCATGGTGTGCATACTTTTGTACACAACCTACCCACTTTTGAAGGAGTCTGCCCTTATTCTTCTGCAAACTGTCCCTAAACAGATTGATATTTCTTCCTTGAAACAAAAGCTTAAGAAAATAGAAGGGGTTGAAGCTGTGCATGAGCTTCATGTATGGCAGTTGGCAGAAAGTCGTATCATAGCCACAGCACACATAAAGTGTAAGGACCCTACTGCTTACATGGATGTGGCCAAGCGCATCAAAGACTTTTTTCACGATGAAGGAATCCATGCTACTACCATTCAGCCTGAATTCTCAAATGTAGAGTCTGGATCTAGAATATCCTTATGTGAGTTATCGTGTAGGACTCAGTGTGCGCCAAAGCAGTGTTGTGGTAGCACGGAAAAAGGGGTGTCTGGGAAGAAATCCAGCGGGGGGACATCAGCCCTTCCCAGCTTGGGAATGATTAGTGAATCTCCTGAGCACAAAACAAAGAGAACTAATACTTCTGAGAAGTCAACTAATGAATTGAAGATAGATGTGGACTCCACCGTTTGATCACTTATCAAATGCATAAACTTGTGGCTCTTGCTGGAGAAAAACAAGGGAAACCCTTTCCCTAAAATTTGTCACAAAGTTGCTGGTTTAAAATATTGACTTTATTAGTTTTGTCTTTAAAACAAACATAGTCTATCTAGTTCTGGGATGCAACCATTAATGTTTAAAATCTGGTTCTTGCTGTTCTAATTGTTGCATTGTTTTTGATTTGAACATTGTGTCAATGTTACATTTTGTGAATTTAGATTTGCCTGGGATCTTTCCATTGCTGCTGCAGTTTGCATAGCATTGACAGTGTTTGTTTCTAATATGATTTACATTTATTTTAATTTTGTTTTTCTAAATTGTGGCTGCTGGGATGTAGCCAAATACCTTCTTACTAACTGACAATCTTGCTACTCAAATATGTGCACGAGAAGCATTGTTTAAAATCCCAGTTTGTACCCTTGCACTCCTGACTACAGGATAGGTCTAGAGAAAGCACTTTTTCTGTCTTGATAAAGTTTTAGGGGTTAGAATGCCCACCATACCATTATTTTATATATACTTTTTTTGTGTTTGTGCGCATGTTAAAGGGCAGTTTGTCCTTCCCATTTCTTCCTTTTGAATCCATTCCTCAGTCTCTGTTAAAGACTTGGGTTGCCTTTGCTCGATTTCATCTCTGCTGACAGGTCAAAATGCATATAGTTTACTTGCAGTGCTGAATGACTGGAATATTGACTATAACTAAATTACCAGCTCTGCCATTTTGCAAAAACGTGTTTTGTATAATGATATGCAAATTGTCACTTTCTGGCAATAATTACATGAGATTGTATTATACACAGGTGGCATTGTGATATATTTGTTTAATCAACTATTAGAGTGGATTGTAGGGGGCTTTCAATAGCTTGCTTTATTTACTTTGCCAATGCCATGTGCATATGTCGTATTAGGCAAAGACCCTGGTTGTTCATGTCTCTAGATCCTTTTGGTCTGATTACCCTACCCCTCAGGCAGTAACCAGTTACAGGTCTAAACTTTCTCAGTAACCTCACTCTCATGCGAAGTCCTGGCCATACTGATCAGCATCGTGCTTGCCATTTAAATTCTGCTTGTACTGGAGGGAGGCGGCAGTGTGATCAAGCAATGCACGTGCACACATGTTACATACCTATCTAAAAGAAGTGCATGTGAAAATAGGTGTGGCTGTATATCTGCTAGTTGGTACATGGGCCTGGATGAACCAGAGGCTCTGTTAAATAACAATTATATCACTGGCCAATGTGTGTTCTTTATTCCTAGCTGTAAATAAATTGGGTTGGTCTTCTCTGTGCACTTCAGGTAAAGATAATTTGTTACTTAAAACAATATAATTTTCATTTTACATGCTCTTTCATAAGTTGGACTATTCTCACAAAGATCTATATAGTGCACCCATTACCAGCAAAGCATTTCAGTGGTCTAAATTTAATTGCACTTTTTATCTTTCTTCTCGGTGTTTGCACATCTGTCTTTTTTCAGAGTTCAAGGGTGCCATTCATGATCCTGATATGGTGCTTAGCACTTGCATGCAGCTGCACCACCACCTTTTGAAGACCAAATTGCAGATCCATAGCAGTGGATTACAGTGTTAATTCATGTGTTACCAAAGCAAAGAAAACTTCAACTTACTGAATGTACTTCTTACAGAGTGTCTTCACCAACCTACATATTTTTAACATTATGTATGCTTCTCAGATTTGTAAAGTGTGTTAAATTAAAGGTATCCTGGTAGATTTCCACCTGTCAAGTGTATCTGTATTATGATACATGCACAGACTAGCTCAGGATTACCCACTTAGTTTACATACTAAACTTGAGAAGCATGATGAATGTAGTTTTGCCTATCGGAGTTTGGCTGTGCTTTGTATAGTGTATTTATGTATGTATCGTACTTCCAAACTGTAATATATTGTTATTGCAATTATATTGTACTGCCCAAACAGTGTTTTATTGGAAGTTGTTTTGTTTTTGTTTTCTCACCCCTCCCATGACAAATAAAACATGGAGAACATGTTCATCTTATTATTTTTGGTTTTTTAGTACTTGTCAGCTGGAAATGTAATTGTTGGTGGCAGAACACATTCGGATCAGTTTTAATCTATATGCTTTATGTAGGGATTTCTAATAAAATTTATATCTATAGGATGTGGTAGCCAGGAACCTCTGTCTGAATTTTTTTGTTTATTTTAAATTTTTTTTAATTTTATTGTTTTAACAAATTTAGCGCTTATAGTTTAAAAAAAAAAAAAAAAAATTATAATTTATTTATTTTAATTCAGCCCCTCTTCACACACATCATTTAAAGTAAAAGTTTAGCAATATCAGCTGTTTCCAAATTTGGCTGAATATATTAACTGACATTTCCCAGCCAATTCCAGCTACAGATGCTCAAAAGTTACATTGCAAATGGGGAAGTATTTATTTCCATATTAGTGATCTCTTTAAAAAGGGGGCAGATGGCAGGCACATGCAGGGCCCAGGTAAGGGTAAACTGACTTAACCGTTTGACACCAGAATACTACTGTCACCATAATCACTGCAGTGAATGTAGTGGTTTTAGGGTGCGTACAGTACTCAGTTTAAGCATTATTCCAATACTTGCATGATTTAGAGCACTGTTGGTGTCCACACTTGTTTGATTCTTATTTAGTAGCATGTCCCTACTTGGTGTGAATGGTGCTGTTCAATCATTGCCATGAATACATGGTGCACTTACTGGCTCAGCAGCATAGCTAGGTAACAAGTCCCTTCCGGAGTTCAACTGAATAAGTGTAATTGTCTGATGTCTGTAATGTGTATCAGGACTGTTCACACACACGTATGTTTTCTTGTAATCTCCAATTTTACCATTACTAAAGTCTCCATGCTCAGATTTTTTTTTTTTTTTTAAAGTGCATATTCTGTTTAGATGACACACTATTCCACTGAATGGCACAGTAAACTAAATAAAGCGTGTATGTATAATATATCGATATACACTTACTCTTACTTGTGAAGACCTTGCAACATACAGTTGAAGAATATATATATAATATACACACACTTTGTGTATTTAAAAGAAAACCAATATATGTGTAACACTGACAGGCTACCTCATTCACAGGATAGTAGCGAGTTAATCATGACCATGTGGCATTGTATGTGTGATCAGTAGTAGGGCCTGAATAGCAAGCAATTAGTTGTTGGGTTTTTTTTTTTTGTTTTGTTTTTTTACGTGCTATGACTAACCCCGGAACGCTCAATACTTCTAAGCTTTCTCTTAATTACTATTTCAACATTTGGAAGGCAGAGTAAGCCTTTACTAGTTTGGAATGTGTGGTGGGGATTTAATTCTCCTACCTTTCAGCCTGTTAATAATTTCATAAACCATTTAATGTCATGAGTATGAAAGCACACTGCTTTGTAATGCGCTGCTTGCTCTCTAGTAGTGAACAGGGTTTAATTCAAGAATATGTATAATACCAGATAAAGGCCAGTATTGACAACATAAATATGTCAGTGGAGTGTTTTTTTTTTTTTTTTAAATATAAAGAACACTGTAGTGTTACAAATTAGGAAACTGAGTCCCTCCTCTCCCTATGGTAAAAAGGTAATACTTTACTTTTATCCCATGCAGAAAAAAAAATCACTAACTCAAAAGTAACAGGTGTAATACGGCTACCCATTTAACGTCTTTATAGCTGGTGTAGACAGAGCTACTGGCTTCTACTAACCTAGGGGTACAATAAATATCTGGTGTGATGAAAACTGCTACTAAGGTATGGTTTGCTCACCTCTTCCCACCCATTTGTTTTTATATTTTCCGAGCTTAGTTATGTATTGGATTTTTTTTTCTTAGTTTTTTAAGGTTTGTAAGACTTGCCTTTGTAAGTTCTTGTGAGCATTTTTATACTCTAAAATCCTGTTTGGTTAGTTTTTCATTCAAAGCTCCTCTGTAAACCTGCTCTGCTTTGTTTGTATTAACTGTTCTGTACTTTGTTATACATTCCTAACTTTCATAAACTAATACAAAAGTTTGTCTTTGTGTGATGGGTCTTATTCCAGAAAAATACAGGAATGTAAAAGCATAAAAAGAATGTTCCTAATTTGGAGACGGATATGGGTTAATGTACGATTTTCAGTTATATTTCCTTACGAACTACAATTTGAGAGAGAAACTGATCATTTTGATTTTAAAGTAAAAAGCAATGTTCCAATATGTTCAAAATAAATGAGACTGTTATGGTGCTTACATACCTTGTCTCCTGCTACTGGGAAAAGACTTGAAAACACTTGAAAAGAGTGTATAGTAAGAGCAGCAAAAATGTGGTTGGGGAGAAGTATATTATATTTAACATTAAAGGAACACTTTATTTTTGTTTAATGTTTTATTACTGTACTGATTCAGCACCTATCTCCGCTCTGTAAATCAGGCTGCACACAATTTAAGTATCAACGCTGATGATCTCTGGTCCAGTCATTGAGGACCTGCGGTACTGACTACATTTTTTGATCGTGCTATGTTAGGTGACATTGAAAATTGACCTTAAAATAAATACATTTGAAAAATTAAGGTCTGACAGCCGCTGGACACATATATATTTATATATATATATATATTTTTTTTTTTTTTTTTTTTTGAGAAATATACACTTTGGCAAAACAGGCATGTTTTACCTTGCCCAAGAAAAGGGACCTAATCTAGAAGCTAAAAACCACTACATTACTATGTAGTGGTTTTGGTACTTATAGTGTCGCTTTTGAAGCGGCACAGTAGCTGATCTCATGTTGAGTGAATCAGAGTGCAGCAAGATTTAAAACCGCTACGGTCACTTTTTGCAGGTTTTGCTTTTTTTCAATTAACCCTTTTAGTTTCTCTTTTTCTTCTTGAGATCTTATTTGAAATTCCACAAAATACAAAAATACTTTTTCTCATGGGGAGCAACTTCTGATAGTGGGTTCCGTTTTAGTTGCTTAGCTGATTTGCCCACATTCCATCAATCAAAAGATTCCCACAGAAGGGGTGGTATGGACAGAAAATAACAAAATGAAGGCATTCAGGCATTGAGATCTGGCACAAGCAAGGAAAGTATTAAATACATTACACACACTAAGTTAAAACTTAGTTTTTGTTTTTTTTTGTAAACGGTGCAGTTTTATCTCCTAGTCCCAGATTGCAAAATGATCCAATTAAAAATTGTCTACACTAAATTGCAGCCTACATCTTGAAAATGTGAAAGCTATATAATTTTATAAATTTAAACTTGTGTAGATCTGTTTTGTAAAACTTATATTTACATTAAAGGCATTTGTAGTTTTGAGTATAATTATGTATGCCCCTATACAGACTTTCTGCATTCTGGTGACATTTGAAGAAAGATGTATACCCTAAAATGCCTACAAGTATACCCCAAAAGATTACGTTTAAAAAAAAAAAATTGTCCCATCTCCAATTCCTCTGCACAAACCATAAAGTTGCCAACATTCATCAGTATCTGCCTGCCCCATCTGCAGTCGTTGAGCATGTGAAAAGAGATAAGTTAAGATTCTGATGTCAGAGGTTCAGTAGAGGAAGCAGCTCTAGTTCGTTTTAGATTCTTGGAGAAAAATCCACTAAAAAATCTCATCACAATCACTATAAAATGTTTCCTAAACTAGATAATTGATAAAGTAAGAGAAATCCTTTCTGATGTGGAAATCACACATCCAATTTCTGGGACTGATTCAAGATACAGTTTATCAAAATGGCTAAAGCACAATCAAAATAAACAGGCTCTTTATTGATTAATTTGAGGAAAGCTATGGCCACTATTGTTGACCACTACAATCAGATATTCTGGAAAGTCTGAGCTCTGCTTTCAGGTGGTGACAAGAAAATGTTGGCTTTTGGGAACAGATTTGTAAGCTTGGCCATGGATTTTGGAATTCAGATGATGAACTACAAGGCTTTGGATTTCAGGGAACAAAAACCTTCAGTAAATCTCAGCAGGTTAAAAAAGTCTAGGTGCAGTAAAATGTTACCATGACTTTTCGCTTACTTAACTTGGCAAATTGAGAGGG